GATCCTCTTCTCTGGTCCAATCTATCTGGTGTTCTCTATGCTCCTTGTACCATGATAAGCATCTCCTTCTTTAGGCTAGGCAAACTTTCTTTTTGGATTTTGTTGAAAATACTTTCTGTGCCTTTAACCTGGGAATCTTCTCCTTCCTTTATTCCTATTATTCTTATATTTGGTCTTTTCAAAGTGTCCCAGATTTCCTGGATGCTTTGTGAAAGTTTTTTAGAAGTAACTTTTTTTTTTTTTTTTTTTTTTTGCAGCATGGGGTGTCCATTTCTTCTATTTTGCCTTCAATGCCTGAGACTCTCTTCCATCTCTTGTATTCTGCTGACGAGGCTTGCCTCTGATGTTATTGTTCTAGTCTCTGAGTTTTTCACTTGTAGATTTCCCTTGGTTTGGGTTTTCTTTATTGATTCTATTTCCACTTTCAGGTCTTGAACTGTTTGATTCATTTCCCTCCACTGTTTGTGCTTTCATTGATTTCTTTAAGGGAATTATTAATTTCCTCTTTAAGGAGCTCTACCATATTTTTAAAGACTATTTTACAGTCTTTTTTGTGCTTCAGCTATGTTGCAGTACTCAGGGCACGCTGTGATAGGACTGATGGGCTATAGTAGAGACATGCTGTCCTGGCTGCTATGTGTTTTTACGCTGGTGTCTAGGCATCTGGGATTAAGAAGATTATAATTCTAGGTGCTGGTGTCTGGTCTTGTTTTTGTGGGGTGGTTGTTTTGTTCCTTAGTTTCTGTTGCCCTAACATGGTTCTCAAGAGAGTGTGGTGGCTGTGTGTTGTCTGGTAGAAAATCCTTCAGGGATCCCGATAGGTGTGGCCACTGGGTTTCCAGGTAAAATCTGTTTCTGGATATTGGGAGCTGACACTTAGGAATGGAGATGGCTGGGGGAAAGGATGAGGGGGTCCACAGGAGGTAGGAAAATGGGGTTCAATCAGGATCTGCTTAGTCCCCGGGGAATGGGATCAGGGAGTGAGGCTAAGCCACTGCTTCAGAGCTGGGGCTGATACTTAAGAGAATGGACCTGGAGGAGGGGAGGGAGAGGTGAAGATCTACAGCTCCCCTGCTCAGAGTGGCTGTGGGTTCCCCAGGAGTGTCTGCTGAAGTTGGGGGTTGGGATAAAGCAATGGGGGGGTGAGGGAGGCTGGGGTGGGGGAAGATCTGTGTGAACCACTAGAGATGAGGGGAGGGCGGAAGGAAGGCTACAACAGGTGGTCTCCTGCAGACCTGGGGCTGAGACTAGGGACTTGCACTAGGGAGGAGCAGGGAGAGAGGTGAAGATCTGCAGGTAGCTTCCCCAGCAGGAGTCACATTCTACAAATTCTAAACTGTGATGTAATTTTCATTTGGTTCATGATATATTATAATTTCCTTTGTGGTTTTTTTCTTGATCTGCAAGTCATTTTATAACTCCCCAGAATCAGGGTCTTTTTAGTTAGTGATCTGGAACTAACGTGCTTTAATTCTGTTACAGATAGGGACACACTAAAATGTCAACATACTAATCAAGAGTCTGTCACCGAGAACTTCTTTCTTGGATGAGGAGACTTCCTCTACTGCCATGGCTGTTGATGTCTTTGCAGTTATTATATACAGTGCACTCCCCACTTCTCGGTTGGTTGGTTTTTGAGACAAAGTTTCTCTGTGTAACAACCCTGGCTGTTCTGGAACTCACTCTGTAGACCAGACTGGAGATCCAACTGCCTCTGCCTCCCGAGTGCTGGGATTAAAGGTGTGTGATATCTCTGCCTGGCTAGTTTTTTCCCCCAGAGAGAAAGAAGAGGAGGCAGGGAGAAAGGTAGAATGAGGAGAGTGGGGAGGAAGGGAGGAGGGTAGGGAGGAAGAACAAGACAGGAGGAGAGCAGAGAGGAGAGGCAGTGTAATATTTTAGGTGGGAGGTTTCTTTCAGCTAGTTATGAATTTTATCTCTTTTCTGTCTTGCAGACTTGCTAATGCAGAGCTGGTTTTGCCCAGTTTCTTCTTTTCTGGATCAATTCACTACTTATTGTTCCGTTTTATCTTGTTACTGCTTTGTTTAGAAAGTCAATGAGATTCCATAGGAAGATTTAAAGCACCTCGTATTTCCCTAGTAGCCTTCTCCCCAGTACTTCCCTCCCCTTTGTGATGGACCACATTCCCAGATGGCCTCTCCCTTTTGGATGGAGGCCAAATGTCTCTCCATGTGTGGGTCTGCTGCTGCTGAATTTCCTCATCTCTGAATGTCTCAAAAGTCATTAATGCATCTTCTGAAAGGTATCCTCACTGTGGATTCTGAAATTATTTTCCTTTCAATAATGAAGACATTTGTCCCAATATCTTTTCAGCTGCCTGGTTTCTAATAAGAATCTTTCAGTCTTACTTTTGACTCTGTAGGTAACCTCTCCTTTTGTTCTAGCTGTTCTTAAGTTTCTTTTTATTGCTAGGTAAGAACATGGTTATGATATATCTGTACAGCTTCTTCTCTTCTATTTCTTTTTGAGATTCCTTTAAATATTTATTTTCAGTTATGTGTCTCTGTGTGGATATAGTCAAGTGAGTGCAGCTGTCTGCAGAATCCAGAAGAGTGGATTGATCCTAGAATTGGAGTTACAACTTACAAGTATGTTACCCAATTATGTGTGCTGGGAACTGGACTCAGGTCCTTTGCAAGTGTAGTGCCTGCTATTAACCTCTGAGCCACCTCTACAGCACCCCCCCCACTTGTTTATTATCTTTGTTTTTAGAAACTGAGTCTTGAAATGTAGCTCATCCTGACTCCCTGAGGTCTAGAGGTGACTGCCACCTGCATAGACTTGATTCTCTATTTAAGGGATATAGTTCCTAGGTTTTTGTGTGTTTGGTAATTTTTCATTAAATGCCAGACACTATGAACTTTGGCATTTATTTTATGTGTATAGATGTTTTTGCCTGCATGTATGTTTATGCACCACTTGTACATGTGGTGCCTGTGGAAGCCAGAAGAGGGCGCCAGATCCTCTGGCACTGGAGTTACAGATGGTTTTTTGCTGGGAACTATAAACTCAGGTCCTCAGCAAGAGTGTCAGATACTCTTACTGGTACGCCACCCTCTAACCCTGGAACTGATTCTTGAAACAAGTACCTACTTAGTTGATCTTAATTTGTCAAAACCCCTAGGTGCCTACATTTTGGATGTTTCCCTGAAAAAAATCATTAACATATGACTCTGGTGGCAGCCAGAGCCTACTGTTTACCATGCAACCAATCACTCCTCCTGTCTCTGATGTGTGTGTATGTGTTTGTGTGTGTACATATATATGAGGTAGTGCATGCATGTGGAGGCCATAGGAAGACAGTAGACATCTTCCTGAATTATGCCTCCATCTTACTTTTTGAAGCAGGGTCTCTCATTGAACTTGGAGCTCACTGATTCAACTCAATGAATGGCCACTGAGCTCTGGACATCCACCAGGCCAGCTTTTTTCTGTGTGGACGCTGGGGATCTCAAGTCAGGTCTTCATGCTTTCATAGTGAACACTCTTTTTTTTTTAATTTATTTTATATGTATATGATGAGTGCTCTATCGGAATGTACACCTGTATGCTAGAAGAGGGTATCAGACTCCATTATAGATGGTTGTGAGCCACCACGTAGATGCTGGGAATTGAACTCAGTACTTTTGGAAGAACAGCCGTTACCGGCTGAGCCACCTCTCAGCCCCCCAATGGTGAACACTCTTAACGAATGAGCCATCTCACCAGCCCCCAGCCTAGAACTGTTTTAGGAACCCAAAGGTTCCTCCCCTAGCCAAAGGTCCTGCAGTCACCTGCCGTCTCTCCTTGATGTTATCAGCTGTGAGGAGAAGGAACCCTGCTCACTGGTCAGTTTCACCTCCCTTCCTTCCTTTTGGCCCCGCCCCCAGGATGCTTCCTATCTTCATGTGTAACAGAGAAGCCTCTCGCATCCTCTCGAACCACCGAATGCACCATGCCGCCAAAAGGAGAAACCCAGGTTTTCCATTTCAGCTTTAGTGATTCTCTAAGTACATCACCCAAACTCTGAAATCTTACATGCTGCCAGGCTTCAACTAATGGCCTCTTGTGTGAGACCTTCAGATCTATGCTTCCAGCTCATCATCTCCACTGTTTTAAACCTCACAGTCCCAACTACTTAATGGCTCTATCCCTGGCTTAGAGGAACTGCATCTGAGGCAGAACAGTGTCTTTCTATTCAACCTCTCCATGGTTTCAATCTTCCCCTTCTATTCACAGTTCTCAAATACTTGACATTGGAAGAGCTTGTCACAGTTCATTTTACAAAGTGATTGGGGACCAAGGATACTAGATAACTATTTAGTTTATGACTTCCAATTATTCTCTCTAAGTATCATTTTTATTATGGTCCTCTCTGCCTGACCCTAGAAACTTAGAGCTCTTGCCATCGGGTGCTGCAGTACGGAAAACCAAGGGACTTCAGTGATCTCCCAGTGCTTTCAAGACTCCGAGCTTGGCGGCAGCAGCGGCGGCGGTGGTGGTGGTAGTGGTTAACATATGCCTTTAACCCCAGCACTTGGGAGGCAGAGTCAGGCAGATCTCTGTGAGTTTAAGGCCAGCCTGGTCTACAGAGTGAGTTCCAGGATAGCCAGGGCTATACAGAGAAACCCTGTCTCAAAAAATCCAAAACAAAGACCCCAAGCTTGTTGCTCGAAGTCCTCCATGTCCGTGCTTCAGTCTAGCTGGACTACAGCAAGTGGCTCCGCCCCCATTCTCTTTCTGACATAACCTGTTCTTCTGACCTCCCGCCTTCTAATGCTACCAACTCCAATGTCTTCCTGGAAACTCGGCTGGGCTTACTCTCCTGAATATTTTAGCAGACGTACATTCATTAAAACTCTTTAAATTCCACTTGGTTCTGAGGATAGTTTTCTTTGTATTTCACGTTCCTTCACTTAGGGTCCCCAAAGTAGCTAGAACAGTGGCAGCACCTGGAAGCTCAGTGCAGCCAAAAGAATCAGCAAACTCCCGCGTCCCTTACCTTGGTGATGTCCGTGTGGTCTTTGAGCCCGTTGGTCATGCACCAGTAGCGCCACACATTTAGGGCGTACCTCGTGGCTTTGGTGGTGTTTGGGCTCACTGCACTGGTACACAGACCATTCAAGTCATCATTAACATTAAATACAGGAAATTTGTTGAGCTTAGTAGAATACGCTAGAAATAAAAACAATAGAGACATTAATGTGCTGTCCCCTTCTTCAGTGAGTTTCATCCTGGGGTGATATTCAATAACAACTCCAAAAAGACAGTAAAGAAATGAAATTTCTAGCCATTTCTAGTGGTGGGACACACCTCTAATTCCAGCACTCAGGAGGCAAGCAGCTCTCTATGCCCACAAGGACAGCCTGGTCTACACAGTGAATTCCAGGACAGCCAGGGCTACACAGCGAGATCCTGTCTCCAAAACCTACTTATATGTATGAGAATTTATGCCTTGTATCTAACTAACCCTGATCATTTTGCCATGTGCACTGGCTAACACACTTACAAACATTTCAATAACAGGATGGAATTAATACTAGAACGTTCTAAACTTATCACTAGAAAAAAATAGCATTTCCTCTAACAGTAGCAAAAGATGAGAAGAAAGGAAGTAAGGAAGATTTTTAAAAAAAGATGGAAGGGAGGAAGACTGAATGAATCTTCAGTACACGAAGAATATTCTTCCTTTTTTTTAACACAGCTTTGAGTTACTCGGTGCCATCAGGAGCAGCCTTGAACTAAGTGGAGCTAGCATATTCCTCTCAATCTCTTCCCGCAAGTAATGCCCTTTCCTTACACTCTAGAGGATGGTAAAACCGAGCGTCCTTCTGCAGAATGTATATTCAAACACAGTCAGGCTAGGTCCCGGGAGGCAGCAGAATGACAAAGCTAGTGCAGTCTTTGAGTTGGCTCGCCCTACCTAACCCACCTTGGTTTTCATGGCTCCTATGGAGGCTCTCCTCTGGACCAAACTCCCAGCATCCTGGGACCCAGAATCTTATGTCACCCAGGAACATCACACACACGCATGCATGCTTTCATCTGTGTGTGTGTCACACAATCAATACTCTTAGAAATTATTTATTTTAATGTGTATGGATGTTTGTCTTTGCACTACATGCATGCCTAGTACCCGTGAAGGTCAGAAGAGGGACTGGATTCCCTGGGACTGGAGTTACAGGTGATTGTAAACTACGATATGAGTGCTGGGAATCGAACCTGGATCCTAAAGAAGAGCCAGAACTCCTGACCACTGAGCCATCTCTCTAGTCCCTCAACACACTCATCAATTTCAACCTTTCTTCTAGAACCTGTCTGCAGAACCTCCCTTTTCCATGTTTCCACATCTGCCTTCTCTTTCCTTAGGCATATGCTCTGATGGTGATGGTCTTTATGCTCCTCAAAAACCTGACATCACTTTTGATAACTTGATCCTGCCCACAACCATGGAACACACAAACTGCTCCACCATCCAGGTATTGAGAGGAACGAGCAACACTGAGCACACAAGAGCACGGGCTGAAGCACCACAGAGCGATGCTCCTCTCACCACTTCCAAAATTTGCAGGACTTTCTTGACATTAATAAGATTAACATCAACGGAAGCCTACAGTGTGCTGATTTTTAAAGCTGCTGTGTAATCTGTGAACAAGTACATGCTTAGACCTGTTTACAGACAAGGAAAGAGCACCAGAGATCTCGGCAGCTCTGTACACTCAGGTGTATAGCACAGAGCCACCACTGTGCAAGAAGTGTGCTGCTGAAGCCATGAGGTAGGCACTGGTAGATCCAGGATCTATACTCGAGTTTGATAGCACACACTGCTATCATGTCATGCTAGCATGACAGCAATGGCACCTGATACCGTAGGGACACGATCTCAGTGACAGTAATTTAGTAAGGACAACAGTCACCATCTGGGTGCTGGAAACCGAACCTGGGTCTTCTGAAAGATCAGCAGGTGCTCTGAGCACACTAAGCCTTCTCTCAGGCCCTATGAGGGGAAACCTATTTATGAGAACTTTATCCACTTGCTACTGCTGGTTCAATATTACCTGCAGAAGCAAGTTCTGTCCAAATGTATCAAATGAGAACACTCAAAAAGACTAAATTCCTACCAGTGACTCCTCATAACCTAGACTTGAATCTGAACATGTGAGCACACAAATAAAGCTCTCTAGCCTACCGATGACTCTTTATAAGACAGTGTGCCTCACCCAAAACAGAACAAAATAAAGAGACCTACAGACCAACTCAGCTGCTAAACAGAAAAAATTTGAAAACAATAGGAGGAGAGCTGAAGAGATGAGTCAGTAGTTAAAAGTGTTTGTTCTCGCAATGGGTACAGGGTTCAATCCTAGTACCCACACGGTGGCTCACAGCCGTCTGGAACTCTAATCTCGGCCATCGGACACCCTCTTCTGACCTTCCTGGGAACCAAGCATAGATGTGATATACATGTCATACATGCAGACAAAACACTCATATACACGATAGATAGATAGATAGATAGATAGATAGATAGATAGATAGAGATCTAAGAAAAATTTAAAGTAAAAAAATAAAAGATTAAAGTGCTTTAAAAAAACAATCTTATGAAAAAGAAAACAAAACCAAAAACAAGAAAACTGAATTCCTACCTCATACCATGAACAAGAACAACACAGCAATCCCAAATGAATCAAACTGTAACCCACATAGTGAGTTCAAGGCCAGCCTGGTACAAGAGTCCTTGCCTCAAAACACAAACACACACAAAAAAACCCCCAAAACAACAAAACCATAAGATATAAGCTCTATGACTTTGGAGTAGCCAGATATTTTTAAACAGTGCATCAAAATCAATACGTAAGTAAAAGAATGTGAAATTGGATTCAATAAAATTTAAGAGCAAACACTAAAAAACAAAACAAAATTAAGAGGCAGAAAAGGCAAGGCACATAATGGCAAAAGACACTTAATATGAATTTATGAGTTTATCTGACCAGTCAATGAGAAAGCAGATAGTTCAATTAGAAATGGGCAAAACGTGGGGCTGGAGGGAAGAATCATCCATGTCTCACTCGCTGCTCCTACAGAGGACCCAGGTTCTATCCCAGCACTCTTCAGGCAACTCATGACCACCTGTAACTCAAGTTCCAGGGAACCCAATGCTTACTTTTGGCCTCTCAGGGAACTACATGCACACAGAAATACTCAGGTCCCTCCCACACAAATTAGTAATGATCCAGGGATCATACATGAATACATAATGAGCAAAACATCTTCAATGAAGAAGAAATACCAGATGTTAATGAACACTTTGCTGGGGCAAGAATACAGCCATGGCCACTTTTGAAACTAATTGGCAGTATCTGCTAATGTTGGACATGCATCATCTATGACATTCTCCATGCTACTACATCCCAACATACCCAATATAAGTATATACATATGTGTCAACAGGCACATATGAATGTCTATAAAAATCTAACAGCACAACAGCCCCAAACTGAAGACTCATTTGTACATAAAACACCAACTGCATTGAGATTACAAAGCACTTAACAATGCATTCTCATGGAGGTGAGCGATGAACTACTAGAATAAACCGTACAGATGCACGAGTGAATCTCACAAGCATGATAGTAAGAAAAAGAAGCTGGCTGGCAAAGCAGACTGAAAACTCTGCTTGTGTAATTAAAAAACACCAAGTAAGCCTATGGTCATACAGTAGTAGCCTTGCCGATAACGCCAGGAAGAACATAAGAGACTTCCAGGTTCAGGTAAGGTTATTACTCTGGGTGGGGGCTGTAAAAATGTTTGCTTCAGAAAAAAAATCAATTAATGATCTGTGTGTTTTTCTGCATAATTCAATTAAGAAAACAATCCAAAACTTCTTAAAATTAAAAACACTTTCTGGAGGAGTGGAAAGATGGTTTAGCAGTTAAGAGCACTGACTGATCTTCCAGAGATCCTGAGTTCAATTCCCAGCAACCATCTGCAATGGTTCCCAGTTACAATGGTAGCTCACAACTATTGGTAATGGGATCTGATGCCCTCTTCTGGAGTATCTGAAGACAGCTACAGTGTATTCACATATATAAAACAAATAAGTAAATCTTTAAAAAAATACTTTCTGGATAAAGTGTTATATACTACTATATAATGTGGATGGGAGGGATCAATTCGGTATTTAATTTATTCAAGTAATCTTTAAGTAATCCCTTTACGATACTCCCTTTGTGACAGGCTAATCTTAAATAAACATTTTAGGGAAATATATTACTTATTTTATGTATATGAGTGTTCTGTCCTCACACACACCAGAAGAGGGCATCAGATTCCATTACAGAGGGTAGTGAGCCACCATGTGAGTGCTGGGAATTGAACTCAGGTCTTCTGGAAGAGCAGCCAGTATATTTAACCACTAAGTCATCTCTCCAGTCCTGGAGAGGCTACTTTTAAAGCTTAGTAGAGAAAGTAAAAATGTTTTATAAGTGAATTTGAAAAAGAAAGACAGTCATAAACATAATAATTGGGAGGCCTAGCCCTAAGATATAAACGTGTTACAAGAATGGGATAAACCAGGCAAGGAGTGGCGCACACCTATTAATCCCAGCACTGGGGAGGCAGAGGCAGGCAGATCTCTGAGTTTGAGGCCAGCCTGGCCTACACAGTAAGTTCCAGGATAGCCAGGGCTACACAGAGAAACCCTGTTTTGAAGAAAAAAAATTAAAAAACAAAACAAAACCAAATTGATTCATATTTTAACACACACACACACACGGTCATGTGCACACACATTTCTAAGTGGTTAGTTTTTAAAATGCTGTTTTCACAAAGGAGATGATTTGCATAATTTGGAGAGTGCAGAGGTATGAAGCCTCTGTCAGGTGAGCAGATCAGACATCACACTGACAGGATTCTAAAAGGCAGGAAGTCAAAGGGGAGAAAATATGCATAAAATGTGCAGCAAAGGACTCAGGGCAAGCTTCTAGAAATCAACGAGGGAAAGACTCACTAGGAAATGGGCTCAGAAGAAACACCAGTACTGAAACACATTAATAACAATTAAAACAAGATGGATTTCACTTAACAAACTGGCAGAGACAGAAAAGAATAAAACAAAAACACCCCCAAAACCGCCTGCATCTAAACATGGGCAGGATATGGAGAAGCAGCTGTATCCT